AGGAGACAGGGCAGAATTCGGACCTACAAGGTTAAAGTGAAGATGAAGTGCCGAAAAACCAAGAACACAGATATAGCTGACATCAATCCTGGGTAAAATAAACGGTTCAAGACAAAACCAGCACAGGCTAGGCTAAAGGATAACACAACTCAGTATGAAAAAAACAGAATATGGTCAGTTTCAGAGTCCTGATCTTAATTTAAATTAAGGCCACGCTGACCTCACTCTTGCCTAGAAAGGCCTAACTTGAGTTGGAACTGGGTAATAAGTAACATGGTACCAAGTTCACCCCAAAGCAACATTAAATCCTCCAAAGTTGGAAAAGAAAAAAGAAAAAAAAAGGACAGAGAGTATAGCATATTTTGATTATTCCGGGCTGTCAGTTTAAGAAAGAACAAATTGATTTGCTGGAGCTGAAAGACCCAAGACATTTCATTACCGAACCTGAACGCTGCTCTGAAAGCTCAGCTTCAAAATGGTTGCTTTTATAGTTGAATACTGTATGTATGTAATTAGGAGCAACTTCCTGGCCCTTTTTTCTTTAAAAATCTTTTTTCTTCTGGTTTATTTCACTCAGCATAATTATTCTGAGAATCATTCAAGTTATTGCATGTGTCAATGGTTCATTCTTTTTAATTACTGAGCTGTATTCTACTGTATGGATATATCACAATGCTTATCCATTTACCTACTGATGGATGTCTGTGTTGTTCCAGCTTGAGGCTGTTACAAATAAAGCTGCTATCTGCAAGGCCTTGTATGTACACATGCTTTCATTTCTCTTGGGTAAATATCGACGAGTGGGATGACAGAGAATAAGGAGGGATGACAGAGACTAAGGCAGGCGTATGTTTAGATTTTTATGTAACTGCCAAACTGCTTTCTAAACTGGTTGTACCATTTTGTATTCTCACTAGCAGTATATGATTCTACAACTAATTCTCCAACTTCACCAACATTTGACATGATCGGTATTTTCGTTTTAGACATACTAATGGATATGAGGTGGTATTTCATAGTTTTAATTCACATTTCCCTACTGGTCAATGATACTGGGCATCTCTTCATGTGCAATTTTCCATTCGCATATCTTCTTTGGTGAACTGTTCAAATCTTTTGACTATTTTTTTATTGAATTTTGTTACTGGCCATTTTTTAAAAGTTGAACTTCCCCCCCATGACTAAACAGTCTTATTTAAAATGAGAAAACAATACTACTGAACTGTACTTAAAAATGGTTAAGAAGTAAAATAATGAGACTAATCCTACAGACAAAAAAAAAAAGGATGAGCATTTATTTTGTCACAAAGGTACAAAATTTATGAAATAGATTTCAGTTCATCTCACCACAAGCTCGAAACAATCCTAATTGAAAAATCCTAATTGAAACAATCCTAATAGAAAAATCACTAGAACATGAAAGAAAAAAACCAATGACCACAACCACAACTTGAACCTCAGAACTGAATGTTAGTAACAAGAAACACTCAATCTTTATGTTCAGCAGGCAGTGATTTTGTGTTGTCCAACATGGCAGCCACTAACCACATGTGACTCCCGAGTACTTGAAATGTGGCTAGTCTGAACTGAAATCTGCTGTAAAGTACACCCTGGATTTCAATAACTTAGGATGAAAAAAATGAATATAATGTCCTCATTAATAATGTATACACTGATTACATGTTGAAGTGATATTCTGGATAATTTGCGTTCAATAAAATTTACTGTTTTTTAAAAATAATATATCATCTGTATATTGTGTATTCTTAAAATCATTTTCACCAGTTTATTTTTACTGTTTTTAAAAGTGGCTATTATTTTATATTTGGCTTATATTTCTACTGTCTACCACTGATCAAATACTTTTAAAGCAGACCCTGAAAATAATATATCTCCAACTGGGAAGAAAAATATACATACATATAATACTTTTTTCCCTCCCCATGCCTCCAGGGAGTGACTAAAATGGTACAATGGAAGAGATTTACACCCAGAACTCAGGAGTTATCTTAGATTTGAGCCACAGCTCTGTTACTATTTGGTCTATTAGTCAGCTTCTCTAGATTTAAGTTTCCTCACCAGTTTTTGTTTTTCATTCAAAAAGTCAACAAAAATATATTATGCTCCTACTTTTTACAAAGCATTATTCTAGTATTGTATATCTTGAGCGTAGTTTAATAAGAGATACAATCCAAACACACTAACAACTATTTCACCAAACAAAATTTAAAGAGAATTCCCCCAAATGGAGACAAGCCCTTGCGATTATGTGGCATGTGCATATATACGTACACACGTTTTTAAAAGAGAAAGAGTACCTTAAAGGAGTTAGGAAAAACTCCAGTAACTTGTAACTTTCCTAACTCTAAAATTCTGTGCTTTTACAAAGCATTCATCATGCTATAGTAAGCATTATTGTATAAGCTAGTGATACATGGAACCGATATTTGGTCAAGTCCTCCCCTTAAGCATAATGATAACAGTAAGATGTAAACATACCATGATGAGGGTCTTTTACCTGAAGAGACAATTCTGCAGTACAGTTCAACCTTAAATCTCCAGCTTCTATCTCCAGAAAGTAAAGAGATTTTTCAGATCACAGTTAATCATTCATGATGTGCATACAGATGAGAGAAATGGTTTATTCTTTAGCAAAACCCAGCAAGTCAGGCTAGAATCCTGATAGACTAACCACAGCACTCTTTTTGACACCATAAACACAAAAACAACCACACAACACAGAATCTTCCCCCACCCTTTTGTCTTCAGGGGTGATGATTTTCCAAGACACCCAGATGCTGCTATTTCAGCAGTACTTCCATAAACTGGATGTGTGTGACTACTGTTATTTAGATCATAAACTCACAAAAGTCCGCCCTGAAACAAAATTTATAAACAATTATATCATGTTATATAACCTGAACTCATAGAACTCTGTATACAAATATTTCCTTGATCACAGCATTCCTTGGAGGTAGAATATCTCCATATTAAGGGTAAGAAAACTGAGGCACAAGTACTGAATTTACCTCATTCTTGAGATACAGAAATTTAATAGCATAAAGTGTGCCAGGAAAGGTATACCATGGTTTTGTTAAAAAAGGGGGTAAAAAAAGCCTAACCCACGATTCATCGACCCCGGGATTCTTATCTGTTAACAGCAAGAAAGAACATTTTATAGGAGAGTGCTATTGTTCTCCCTGCTATCAAAAGCAAAACCTCTGGGGTATACTGTAAATCATTCCGATTTCCCTTTGAAACTATTAAACAGCTGTGAATGGTACCCAAATCTTTTAAAAGCTTGTTTTTATTCTCAGTCTAGTTATTCTAGCTCCAGGGTCACAATTTTCCCATGTTTCCAAAAAATTATGATTAGACATGTGCTCCAAATGTAGTTTGAGAAATAACTTAAGGCACAGCCCCTAGATACATTATTCCAGAATTTGGTGGAAAAGTGTTCCATATTTATCCATCCAACCCTTCACCGTAAGAGCTCTCAGGCACAGACCTTCCACACATTTCTCCTTCCTGAAGATGAGCTAAAGGCAAGCAGTATGGTACAGTGGAAAAAGTGAGCAAGGGGTTGGGAGAGTCTTCCCAGCCTCACAGTTCATCTTAACCCCCGTAGATCTGGACAAGTCACCGTACCTCTCTGGACCTTGAGGGCTCATCAGACATGAAAAAGTTAGACGCGATGACCTGGACGTTCTCATCCGGATCTCAAAGACTCTGTTTTAACCTACCCTCGCGCAGCCTGAGCATTTTATATCCTCTTTTCTAGTCCTTCTCCAATGCTATGCCTTTCTTAGCTGAAGGACTTATAATAGTAGATGACGTCCCAATGAAAGTACATTAGGACTTGATTTGACAACATTTTTATTCTGAATCTCAAGCTACTTTCCACATCAAGGATTTATCCCAGAGACATCGGGGAGGGGGGATGGAGAGAGACACGCATGGGAGAAGCGGAGCCACACAGTCAGCTGTTGAGGTTGGACGATGGGTACCTGCTGATTCACTATCCATTCTATCTACTGTTGTATATCTGAAATTCTCCATAAAAACTCACTGTCGGAATGAGAAAAGAATACCGAACTGGCATTATTACAGGACTCTTTTCTACCGTCTTTGGCATAAGAATAATTTCTTTCACACCGTTTCCCTTGGGTTGAGATAGAATCTAGAGAACATGAAACTAAGCAGAGCTACTCAAAATCCAGCCAAAATTAAGGAAAATGAACCAGAAAGGAAATTGTTCAACGGATCTCAAGGTTATCAATGAGAAGATCCATTCCACGGAGGGCCTGGGCAGTGACAGGCACTAACATATGTAAAAGTACACAACTCACTTCCGCAGAGCTATTACGTTTCCTATGGTACATGGTCCCTAACTTTTCAACTGCTAAAGTGGAACGGAAAGGGAGGAAATGAACAAGACCCTCTGGTAGGAGGATGTCCTGGAGGGCGTGAAGTCCAAACGGAAAGGCAAGGGGTTAAAAAAAAAAAAAAAAAGGAAAAAGGAAAAAACGGGGCTCCTTTAGAGAACAGAAGGGGAGAATACATATCCCGGGGAAGTCGAAGGGCACTGGAAAAGAAATTCCAGGCGAAGGCACGTCCTTGTGATGTCTAACGCCCCCTTCAGCCCTCACTAAGTGCACGCCTCAGCGCTGGGGGAGGGAGCGGTGCGGCGCCCCTGGGATTCGCGCGGACGGAGAGCCCACCCCGAGGGGGCGGAGGGGCCGGTCAGAGTCCGGAGGCCCCGGAGGAGGGTGCGACTCCGTGTGGGCCCCCGCTGCCTGCACCAAGGTAGCCAGAGGGGTGCGGACTGTTCCACTGCGGCTGAGGGGGCGGAACGCTGCGACCAGCAGGGCAACCCCAGGAAGCGGCAATGGTGTCTCCTGAAGGCGGCGCGGGGGAAGGCATCCCAGGACCGCAGGCCCCTCGTGGGGCACCTGACCCGAATCCCACGCTCCACAGTCGGCTCCACTGAGGCCACTGACCTTCAGGAAGGAGCCGGCTTGGTCATACTCACCAACCTCGAGGGTTCGAGACTCCAAATCCCTCTGGTGCTGGTCCCTCCCGTCCTGGCCCGCCGCCGCCTACCGAGGCGTGCGTAAGGACGTGCGCGTGCCCGCCCTTTGTCTACGCTGCTTTGACGTGACCCCTCGCGTCCATCCCCACCCTCTCGCGGTCTAATCTCACGCCCGGCACTCTCTCGAGTCGGAGCCGGGTTGGGGTTGGGCGGGTGCTTTTTGGGGCGGAGCCTTTTTGGGGTCGGCAGGGCGGGAAGGCAGTGCTGTGTCATCTAACCCCGGGTGGGCGCGACCCGGAACCGCCTAAGTCGCCCCCTGGCGAGCGAGAGGCTGCTCCCTGGAGCCCGCCAGGTGCTACCGAGGTTGGGACTGTGTCCCCTAGGCCCTGGTTGCCTGCCCCTTACCTTGGGCCCTGTGATTCCTGCTCTGATAAAGGGGAGCACTTTCTAAATAGGGGTCTCCACGTTTCAGAGCGGCTCCAGGGCCTGAGTACTGGCTACTTACCCAAGGTTCTGTGGCATAAGTTCTGGGGAGGGTGTTATCAGCCCTGATTAGCGAGAGGAGGCTTGAGTCACTACATTACTTTGTCATCGTGTTGTGAGATACAGTTCTGTGTGTAAAGAACTTAGCTCAGGGTCTGGCACTCGCAGGAAATGTTAGCTGCCATCACCATTACCACCACCACGCACCATCATCGCTGCGTCTCATCTGCGTTACTAGTGAAGCCAAAGAGTTCAAGGGGGTGGTGTACACGATTCCTTGCTGGGCAACTTTCCAAGGTCTCCCTAAATTTGGGACTGTTCTCTCTACTAAAATCTAGCGGGTGCCTCTGGAGTTTGCACGTGACTTTCTCACCAACTCTTCAGACTTCAAACGCCTAATCCAGTCTTACCATCTCCTCTATAATCAGTCCTCCTTAAAAAGATTAGCCCTTCTCCCTGTTCTTAAAAGACATTTTTTGCCTCTGTCCCTTCTTGGAGGGAGTACCAAACCCTCCCTCCCCATTTATTCTACATACTCTTGTCATATTGTTATTCCATGCTAAATAATCTGATAGTAAATCTTGAGGGCAAAGTTCACATTCTCAGACCTCAAAGTCTGACTATAATGACTGTTCCAAAACACTGGACCACTCATCGCCACACTAAATGTCACACCTATATTTGGGATTTACCATACATTCAACAATTCAATCATTTATCAATTCATTTAACAAACCTTTAAAAAAATTTATTTTTAGAGAGAGAGGAAGGGAGAGAGAAAGAAAAGGAGAGAAACATCCATGTGTGAGAGATACATTGATCAGTTGCCTCTGGCACACCCCCAACTGGGGACCTGGCCCACAACCGAGGCATGTAACCTCACAGGGAATTGAAACAGCAACCTTTTGGTTCGCAGGCCAGTGCTCAATCCACTGAGCCACTCCAGCCAGGGCCTGCTTTACAAACCTTCATTGATCCCTCATTAATACAGCCATTTTTTTGCCAGCGTCTCAGTGATACAAAGTTGAATAATGAATGCCTGTCCATGTCTGATCTTCAGCTAGATTAAGAAGAAACTAGATGTCATACATTTTTGTGTCCTTCCCAAAGCTAGGGAGAGTATTTTAAAGTGGCCACCACCATCTTAAATACTCTTTAGGTTCTTATATCTGGCCTTTTCTCCTGACCCAAAACCAGTCAGAACTTTCAAGTAGTCTTGCATCTGCTGTGTTCTCCTGTGAATTCCAGTTTACATTTTTTCACAATCTTTACCATTGAGTACAATTCTTTGCATATAATAATTTTGAGATTAAAAAATGTTTCATGTATGTTAGAGACTCAACAAAAATAGTGTTGACTGATTCTTTGCCCAACCAAATAGTGGACTCAGTTATTGGGTATATACACATACACACGAGAGCATGCAAACATTCACTGGCACATTCTGTAAGCTACTTTAGCACAAGAAGAAAATCAAACTTCCCTCTGAAGAGAAAACCAACAAGAACTGCCTTAATATAGTTTCCTTAGGCTTCAAAGTTTTGTTTGCAAAGATCAATGATCAGAGCAGATTTCTGTCATATTTATTTCTAGGCACAAGTAATACAAGTGGGGAAGATGAGCAAGTAATGCTTGAAAAGTTAGACACAAAGCAGGTTTATCTATAGAGAAGACCTAATGTCTATAGCATGACCAGGCTCACGCCTTTTTCACCACGAATATGGATTCTCTTTAGATTATTTTTGAAGGTATTTTCACATTCTAGAATGAAAATATTCTTGTACTACAAAAACTATGTGAATAATTTTTTTAAACCTGATATAGGATAGTCTATTCAAACAAGGGAATCACAATGTTTAAGGTTTCAATGAGAGGTTTAACAACCCCCATCTCAGTTTAACTTTGAGCTCATTTACCAAAATATGCCTCTATAATCATTGTGTTTGCTGTGAGTTTGGCACATGGTGCTTTTAACCTGTGAAGATACTCCTTTTGTCAGACACTTGTCCCCCAGTAGAGTATTGTCATAAGGGTGCTGTTTGTATAACTCTGCTCCCTTCCACAGTCACCTTTCACATGTGTAAAGCCTGTGACATTCACTAAGAGGTAAGTCCACAACTGTTTACTGTACAACCAACACCACCAATGCTCATTTCCAAGCACCAAGAAAAAAAGAGCCAAATTAACCAAAGGTATGTTATTTAAATTTTTAAAATTGTGGTAAAAGACACATAAAATTTACCTTCTTAATCATTTCTAGGTGTACAGTTCCGTAGTTAAGTATATTCACATTGCTGAGCAACCAATCTCTAGAAATTTTTCATCTCGAAAAGTGAAAACTGTACCCATTTAGTAAGAACTCCATTACCCCACCTCCCAGTCCCAGGAAAACCACTGTTCTTATTCTATTTTTATGAGTTTGACTACTACATAATTTGCTGTATATAATGAACACTTTTTTGCCCAAATTTTTGAGGGAAATATGTGGATGATACATGTGTTAAATCAGATTCATACAAGTATGCTCAGACTTAAGTAGAGACTTTGCAGTTAAGAAAAAAGTGGAGACAATTTTCAGTCCATTCCCACACTGTAGTCCTCAGTTTGAAAATACACAGACTCAATTTTGCCAATTCATAACACAATAATCTGGGTCTGAGGACTGATTTGCAGTGATCATATCTACAGGAGATGCTGAGAAAAAGAGAGGGCTTAGTTATTAATTCAGGCAGATGATGGGAAATGCAAAATTAACTGTAATAATAAAATCCATAGGTCAGTTTATACCCTTAGTAGTAAGAGAGTCTATGTAAGAAGCCAAATCAACATCTACTTAGGAAGCCAAATAGGTTGTTTGTTGACTATAAAGTTTTTCTAAAAAAAGAAAAAAGAAAATGTATACTCTAATAACTCTGGCAATTTTATATACCCACAGAAGTTCTACTTGTATAGTATTCTACTTGCCAAGCAGCCAGCCAATAAATGAATGAATGAATGAATAGATAAAATAATAAAACAGCCAAACAAACTAGAACATCCTCTTGGATTAATATAGTAAACTACTTCTCCTTGATCGGGTCTTTATTTTCTAACATTCACTTCCACCTACCTGGGATTCTCAAGGAAAGAAAAGGGGGACTTCCAACCACTTTAATAGTAATTCAAAATCTGTAGTAGAAATCATGTATATAAAAAAGTCCACTTAAGCTAACTAAAATGCAATTTCCTTTTTTTTGTTGAGGCAACATTGGTTCATCACACTATATGAGTTTCAGGTGTACAGCATTGTAATTGGACACCTGTATACACTACAGTTCCCTTCTGTCACCATACAATTGACTCCCTTTACCAATTTCATCCACCCCCATCTATGTCTCCTCTGATGACAACAATCTGTAGTCTGCATCTATGAGTTTGCTTTCGTTTTGTTTGTGATATATATATAAAATATATATTCTGCATGTGAGTGAAATCATATGATATCTGTCTTTATCCATCTGACTTACAAACTGTAATTTTTAGCAAATATTTATGCATCTTTCAGAAACTCACTTCAGGGCTTAGCTACATCAGAAGTTTTCTGATTTCCTCCCTAGGGGCTTATTCCCCATGTTTCCCTAACACTTTCTGTGTATCTCTAACATTTATTTTCAGGGATTACCTATTGTATGTTTGGCTCCCCTCACTGGGCTGTGAGTTTTGTTTATTTATCTTTCTACACCCAATAGTTAACATAATATCTGTTAACATAACAGTGGCTCAATAAATGTTTGTTGAATGAGTGAAAACTCATTATGACTACCAGAAACTTGACAAAGTATATCTGTGTTTAATAAAATCATGAAATGAACTAGTACTTAATGCATGAAATTTGCTAGACAGTACATTGGGTGTGTGGGAAAATCAGTAAAAGTGTTCTTAAGAGCAAAAAATGATATTTATCAGAGCTCACTGAATGAAAACATTACCCAGACAGGAAAGAATGTCATAAATAGACCAGTTTATCTCAGCCTGGATGTTTTAGAGGTCAAGGGAGTCCTGGGACACTTTTGTCTTTTTGAAATTATCACTAGTAAAAAAAAAAAAAAAGAATTACAGGACTATAGAGTTACAACTGTAACTGTTACAACTGTATAGAATTACAACTATATAGCTGTGGCATATAGTATATATATGCATTTCCAAACATAACGATTTTAACAAAAAAGGGCAATAAAAATAGGATGTTATTTACAAAATAAGGCTTTATAAAAATATTAAATGTTAATTATTACTTTAAATTCCACTGTAAGGAATGAGACACAAATGTGAAATTCAAAGATGACTAGTGAACAGCATCCTTTTCAATCCTGTTAGCTATCTCTGTGGTTGTACATGTACCAATTGAGTAGCTCAGTTGGTTAGAGTGTTATCCCAATACACCAAGGCTGTGGGTGCTATCCCTGGCCAGGGCACATTCAAGAATCAACCAATGAAGGCATAAATAAGTAGAACAACAAATTGATGTCTCTCTCTCAATCTCAAAATGAATGAAAAAAAAAAAGTCTAGATTCCAGGTCCCCGATAACTGTGAGACATGACCCTCAAGGTCTTCCAGGACTTTCCCTCCCCATTGGTAGGCCCTGATTTGAGTTGCATTTTTTCCCCAGAGGCTCATGCATGAGATTTCAGAAA